TCTCATAATACTAAGAGTGAATGATCTTTTATCGATACTTAATTACCCATATAAGGTTGGTTGCCACTCCCGATGATCGGCTATGCTAGATATGAAACTTTTAGACCTATAAGTTCAATATCAAAGAGTAGAGTACTCATATAGGGCATCCTTGGTATGTCAACTTTAAGGATCAGATACACAACTTGAACGACGGAATCAGTATCTAACAATGAGGTATCATCAATATTCAGCATTCTATGAGCGAATCAATCAATGAACTCTTTCTCCAATTAGTACCCACATTGTATCAATAATGTCCCCACACGAGCAGATATGAGACTAGGCGTCTCTATCATATGGACGGGTATATAGTACACCAGTTTATCTAGTTATCTCGATGTTTCTCTCGAGTAACTTATGATCAGGATTATTTAGGATTTATATTTAAAGGCGAATCAGTCTCATTATCAAAATCTCATCATAATATGATTCTCATAGCACAAATCGATAGACATGATAATATATGTAATAAGCAATATAAAGTGAGAAAAGATTAATAATAATAATAATAATAATAATAAGTTAAAAGACCATGCAACGTGTCATATATGCTATCACTCACGTGATTATAAAGTACCTATGATTAGTATTAATTGCATGCTCACCCTAATCGTATAACACTTGTCATCATTTGAAAAATTATTTTATAAAATCCCTAACCTTCAAAAACTCAAAGTATATGGTTGTTTATATTATCCCTAATTACTCCTCTTTACTTCACATAAGTTAACACTAGGATCTAAGCCTTGTATTTTCATTAGGTACTCTCTTAAACATAATATTTTTCAATACTCTATTTCTCAAACTCAAATGATCTTTGTATCATGTCATGCTGTTTTTATTGAGCCTATCTTTCCTTTCTAAAATCTTGCTCATTCAGTAATGTGATCTACTACAATAATCATCCATTACTAATGTATATGAGTACATCTCAAACCCACTCAAAGTACCTTTTACTATATCAACCCGTAGTTCTTTCTGACACTTGTACTTTTTTACTACTCTAGTTTAATAGTGCTAGTTATAAGCGTACTGTAAGCCAATCACGTGAGTGATGACACGTGTAACATAATACACACTCTTTTTGCTTATTATATATTTATTATTTTTCTCACTTTATATTGTCTCTTACATATATTATGATTTCCATTGATTTATGCAATGGAAATTGGATCGTGATGAGATCATGATAATGAGACTGATTCGCCTATAAACACAGACCCTAAATAATCTCAGTCATAGGTTATTCGAGAGGGACATCGAGATAACTAAATAGAATATTATGCAGTATACCCGTCCATATGATTGAAGCAGTTAGTTTCATAGATGCTCGTGTGGGGACACTAAGGCTATAGTGCATATGCTCATTGAAGAATGAGTTCACTAATTAACTCATTCACAGAATGCTAGATGGTTGATGATATCTCATTGTCAGATAGTGATTCCGTCTTCCTAATGGTGTACCTGGTTCTTAGACTTAGAGACACCAAGGATGTCCTGTATGAGTACTCAACTCTTTGTATAAGTCATAGGTGTCCTACAAGCCAATCATGTGAGTGATGACACGTGTGACATGACACGCAATCTTTTTGCTTATTATTAATATGACATTCTCTCACTTTATATTGCTTATTGCATATATATTATGATGTCCATGGATTTATGCAATGAGAATTAGATCGTAATGAAATCACGATAATGAGACTGATTCACCTTTAAACACAGACCCTAAATAATCCTAATCATAGATTACTTGAGAGAGACATCGAGATAACCAGACAAATTAATGTACTATATGCCCATCTATATGATGGAGGTAGGTAGTCTCATAATTGCTCGTGTGGAGACACTAGGGATATAGTGTAGATGCTATTTGAGGAGATTTGAGCAACAATTTGAGGAACATGTCGTAGCTGCTGGTCTCATAGGCTATATTTTTTAGTTGTCACCTCCTATTCTCCTCTCCCCTTATCCTCCTCAAATAGTAGGTATGGAGATTTGGGTAGCGATTTGAGGAATATCTTCATGGCCCCTACCGTGTGAATCACCCCTAGAGAGGAGGACGCTTGACCTCCTTCTTCATCTCCTACAGATCTATAGGATTTTAGGATATATGATCTCCCTAGATAACATAACTATCTTACACATGATTTTTAATTTCACGGGTCTGTGTATACTAATCTTCATACGATGATAAAAACTTTTTTTTAAAAATTTAAGATTTTTGTTTTCTGTTCTTCTATTACGCATACGATGTCATCCCTTGATTTCCCTACATATATGGTAGGTGTTGTGACGAGTAGAGGTTCGAATATGAAATATCCGTCGGAGTCCATACCTTATTAGATATCCAATAAACCCTTGAATTATTGGATCCTGTGGATGAGATCTAATAAAAGCCAATAAGAGATTATTGGATAGAGATCCATTAATCTAAGTGACTTGGGTAGTTGGATGGATATCTAGTACCCAATATGGTAAGATTCATTAAAGTAAGTTTATAGGGACCTCTATAAATAGGAAGAAACCAAAGAGCCATAAGCTAGACCTCTTTTAGCTACTACCTCCTATTCTCATCTTCCCCTCTCCTCCTCGGCCAACAGCCCCTGTTTAGGGCGTGTGAACAACAAGAAGGGCCAACCCCTTCTTGATCCCGTGGTGCGCGTGGAAAGGAGGTTTATGCAGTGATTTGAGGAGTATCTTCGTAGCCCATATTATGTGGATCATTGCTAAAGAGAATGACAGTTGACCTCCTTCATCCTCTCTTATAGATCTGTAGGATTTCAGGAAAATATGATCTCCTTAGGTAACACACATCTCTTAACACATATGATTTTTTGATTTTACGGGTTTTGCGTACCAATCTTCGCACAATAATGAGAAACTATTTTATGTGAAAAATCTAATATTTCTATTTTTTTTTCTTTTATTACACATATGATGTCGTCATAGGTTTCTCAACAAACAGCACCTCATCACCTCCATTAGCCAAGTGATATCGAAATATATCAGCTTAATCAAATATGTGTCATTAACTCTTCATCAATTCTCATACCTTCAATATAACCCAAATAATACCATCGAGCCAAGACCCCATATGACAATATTATCCAAAAATGTCATCTTTAAATCAAGTCAAAGCCTTTATCTCTATGTTATTAGAAGCTCTCCGATTGAGTATATTGAACCCACAACTCCTTTAACTATTCAAAGCAAACACTGAGGTGGGGGGTTCACGTGACGATGTTGTCTTCAGTCAACATCAAACTCCGCCACATCACGATAGAATACAGCCGATGTGGTGACCAGATTTCCAAGGCGAGGGTAGTACGGAGAATGTCCGTTTTCGCACTACGGCCACTTGCGTTGACCATGTCAGAATGTGTCCATGATTGCATAGAACTCTGAAACTAAACAAAAAACAAAAACCCTTCGATTTTCGATTCAAACAATATTTTTTATAATATTAAAAATATTATTTTTCTTCTCTTTTCATATGGATCGATCCATAATTGATCCACCGTTGGTGCAACTTTTGGCACCAAAAGAACGTAAGAGGCTTTTCAATTAACCGTCGGATGTCTTTAAATAAATTTTTATTTTGACATATTATTATATATAAAAGATAAGTCAGAAAAGACGAAATGAACGTAAGGGGTCCTTTTTCGCTGGACACGTGTCAGTTACGGAGAGGAGAACCATGGTGCTTTTCTGCAGTCGGGCGTGCAGGGAATCCGAGTAGAAAAGGGCAGTAGGAGATCGAGTGACTCGAGCCTTTACTTGTGTCTTTACCAAAGCGGATGGAACTTTATGTGGTGGGGGCCTTTACGTCACTTCGCATCACTATCATTGCGATCTCTTCTTTAGACGTCGCCATCGCCAGCCATCTTCGCGGGTTGAGTCGAATTGGATTGGACCGAGACAGAGAGCGGTTGGGTCTGACCCATTCGACCGGATGTCTTGTTCGACCAGGTTTAGTTATACTTGACCCTGCACGTGCTATGCACGAGATGTCAATTCCTATTAATATGTTTTTTGAGGAAGAAGAAGACTTGCAAATGAAACAACAAATTCAGAAAACAAAAAAAAAATATTTGACATAAGATTCACATCATCCAACATATTTTACTCATATACATTGAATTACTGAAATATAATTTTAAAAAAACCCTAAAGCTTGTTCTACATTTTCTATTTCAAAGCAAAAGATTTTTTTTATATATTTAGATATATTAGAGAAAACAGAGGAACACTCAGCTACCACATACATGAAAACAGTGAGCTACATAGAATATTTATAGAGCAATGAACTCTTAATTTTTGACGGAATATGAATTCCTTATCCTCCGATCGATCTGTTTTTGGTCAAGGGATAAAAAAACATCGATCTTTATTATAGGATTATCTTGTGAGAACTTGTGATCTACTAAATAAATCTCGGTTTTGTTCGTCCGTAAACTCTACTCGAACTCTTTCACTGACTTCATCTTCAAAGTACATGCAAGCCTCGACTATCAAGAAACCTAAAGAATGCACGGACGTGTATGCAAATGAGAGGATGAGGGTGACTATATCTTCGATGATACAGCTTGTGAGAAAGACATGATGGATCCAACAAGATGACAACAAAAAGATGATAAAAGTATAAGGATGACAATAATACTCGGAATCACAAAAGAAGAGAAGAGTATGAATTGTTTAGCAAATCTTCTTGGGATTGGCAACGAAGAGATGGCTTCCATGTCTCTTCCAATTGCAAGGAGCCTCTCCAACACGGCCTTCCCCAATCTTTATTGGGGTCACTGACTCTTGAATTAGCTTGTGTTTTCTTTGATAAGATACACATGCTTTGCCCATTGAAATCATGTTCACAACCATCATGTTCACAAATTTACCAATTAGTTTTGTGGCACCCGAAAGCATATTATAGGCAAAGGGAGAAACCACAAGCACAAATATACAGCAACCAAGAATAAGAATCACATGATTTTAAATGTGTTTAGTTTCTCCATTGGTACAAGCAATAACTAATGAGATATAAATACAGAAGTTGATGCTTCTAGATGTAACAGGGAAACATGTAGATAGCGCTATCTGTTGAAAGAACAAGTGTCTTGCAATTTTTGGATGCCTCCAAAAACAAACACAGTCACTTTTGTGTTTGCCCCAATTGAGCTATTCTTAGGGAAGGAGAGTCATTTTGGTGATGGGTTCCGGTATTTTCTGATGCTCTCCACTAGCCCTCTGCAATGGTCAGCATTACATAATTCTCAGGAAGGAGAGTCGTTCTGGTGATGGGATCCAGTATTTTCTGATGCTTCCACTAGCCCTTTGCAATGTTCAGGATTACACAACGATCTAATCCTATTTTGTCCTCTTCGTAGGATGTGTACATGACTAGAATCAAAATAGACAACACAATAATATGCACAATGACAGTAACCATGATAAGTTCCTAAATAACCACCAATAGTGAAGGTCTCTATTGTTGAGGTGATGTTAGTTTATTGTGCTCAGGTTCATGTTTTATTGTTGAATCTCCACCCATCAATTCATGAAAGGAGGCCTCTACTTTCACTGGTTGTGTTCTCATGCTATACGCATTCCTGCAATGGAAGACAAAGAGTCCATAATTACATATCTAAAGCACCGGTATAAAAGATGTGATCCAAGCATGTCAAGAAAATGCATCATCGTAGTCGTACTGTGCTTGTAGTTGAGGAAGTTGGACATTAGACATTTGTTTAAACTGCTGGCCTGATTGAGCATGCTGATTTGACATAGATATCTGGTGTCGTAATTGTAACTGTTGTTGTTTATTAAGTGTGCTGAACATGCTCTCCATTGGAGATTCCGTCATGTTTTCTAACTTGACATCCACCATGGGTTGATCTTTGTCCATGATGACCATAGATCCACGAGGAGTGGCTACTTGACGGCGGCGTAATTTGTCCCATTGCTGCTGCTGTTGAAATGCTAAGTTCTGAGGATGAAGCAACTGCATCTGTTGCATTTGCATTTGTCTCTGGATCTATTGTAAACATCTAATTTAGTTCTCTTACTGTTTGAAAACACACACAAGAGGAAGAAAAAAGGAAACAACCTTTCGAGGAAAAAAGTAAGCATGTACACACATGGAACTGATATGATACATGGATATGTTGGCACATAAAATCTTTGGAAATAAGATATGATATAGAATGGTTGAGTAAATAAAAATGTTTAAATATATAAGCACGATATACGTGACAAGGCTTATCAATTCCTAGAATGTTTGAATTTTGGTTACATGTCATGATAGACAATATCAAGTAATTAATTAGCACCCTAACATATTCATCATACAAAAGAAATATTGTACCTTCAAGAATATAAATAAAATACCAAATACTTATCATAAATGATGATCATATAATTATTTTGACTACAACCACCATAAACTAGTACTTAGTACAAACAATTTACAAAGATTTAACCAATCATATACAAATCTGATGAAAATAAAATATCAATAATCAAGAAAAATGAAAGTTATCTCATGTAAGTATATGTGAAATGTCCTCAAGTGTCCAATTGTCAATAACTTTTTGAAGATTAAATACTTTCAGGGGTATCCAGCACATTCTTAAAAGTATCCAACAAACCGTCTCCATATGTATAAGATATACACATGGCAATCAATTCAAAGTATCTACATTTTAATGGCAGACTGGAATCTTTTATGAGTATCTACTGCAAGTTCAATTGCAAAACATTACTTTCAGGGAAGAACACCTGTTTCTTATAACCATAAACATTTTCAAAACCCTAATGAAGATAAATATTCTCAAACTTCAAGTTGCAATCTGTTCTTGGAAACATTATGAACTCATTGTAAAGAAGTTAGCTGAAACTCTCATCTGTATGTCTTCCTATAATTATCTCTAATGCCCTTCTGATGATAGCTTCCCCTACAAATCTCCAATCTTTTTGCTAGGAAGGATACATCTGGCTACCTTTTGTGATGATTGCATTTCCTCTTTGTTAATCCAATATTTTGATGACATGGATTCATCTGGCTATTATATATGTTAAGGACACAAAAATTAACACTTACAAGTGTATATGAACTCCAAAAGCAATTAATCAATAAAGGAAAATCCACTTTAACTTCTCAAATCAACTCCACTTCATCTTCAACTCCATCTCAACTTCTTAATTTATGCATCTGGACCAACTAAAAAGTAAAACTTATAGCCATAAAAAAAGTTGCCTTCTAAGAAGTAATCATAAAGATAGAGAGAGTAAAATGGGGTGTGCAAACATTTCTATGTGCCATATTTTCTATGTTTTCATATGATTGAAGCAATACAATTAGGAATCCTCCCCACTATTTCACGAAATTCGAGCTTTACATTTGAATCTTAAATGGCAAGGCAATCATAGTTTAAAAGGCTTTTTTTTTGTTCACTGTGTTACATTTATAAAATGATATTAACATTAAGGATGAGGCTACCATGCAATAGTCAAATAAAAGCTAAGAGAATGAAGAGGACAGGTATAAAATCTTAAATGAAATGATCTAGCTGGATATTATGGTTGAAAGAAGTAAAGAACTATATAGTCTTTTTCTACCATACTGTCTACTACTATTGTATGGTATTGATTCTCATCAATGAATTGCTGATCAAGACCTCAGATCTACTTATTTTTGTTTCATGGCAGAAAAGAAACATAATTTGAGCACTCTAGAGAATTGGATTGCGGCATCCGCTAGACAATTTTCTTCCTCAGTGCAAGCATTATCTCAAGAGCAAGAAATGATGGTCAGGTTTAGGAGTCAACAGGCTTGACAACAGTATGACCAGAAAAGATCAAGACACTCATTAACTATATAGTCAAACTACTTACTATGTAGGATTGCGTGCAGTAATGGATGTAGCCTTTAGTCACGATCATTATCAATTTACTTTCAGTAAAATAGTTTGACCGATCATTAATTATCTATATTGTTCAATCCATGTATAGCATGGGCCTGCAACTACTTCAAAGACATTCCAGGAAATGCAAAACTCGAAACATAAAAGTACCTGAGATTAATACACTCACTAAGATATACAATTGTCATGATTAAATCAAAATCATGACCATAAAAAATTAAGCATAGTACAAATTGTATTCTCCACTTAGTTCTTAGATTTGTACAAGGACCACATGAGCTAATTCGGTCAAGGAATGCAATGCCAAGTTATACAGCCTTCTCACACAGAAAAAACACAGAACTTATTGGTATAACCCTTGAGAACATTTTTCTTTAAACTGTATTAGCCAGGAGCAGAAGTATTCAACTAATAAAATATGCAACAGGGGAATTTTCTTACTTGTTGAGCTTGCAAAATCATGTTCTGTTGTGGTGATTGCATCACACGAACATTTTGATGTGCATGCTGAGTGAAGCCCTTATTACCATCCTTAATAACTTCTGATAAGATTCCAAGGTTACTGCTAAATAAGAAATCATCACAAGCCTTGTTTGAATAGGGGGGAAAAGTTGACCAATACAGGAATAACATAATACTACATATGCTCAATCAGGAGAAAAGCCTCATTTAGATATTACCTAGTAAATGGATTACCTTTTATTATATTCACTTTTTCTAGTTGAAAATCTAGAGTCTCACATTACTATTTTATAGACATTCAGAATATGTATTTTGCTGCTCATAATTTGGATTTGCAACCCAAAGAACCAAATAGGCCAACATACTGTTCTTCATATAATTTATTCACATCGTCAAAGAAAGTTATCACCAGTGAAACTATGTGATTTAAATACAATCTATGTTATAACCTTGCAGAGCTCAGTAAATAGTCAGATAACTCTATCTTCTTGGCAACAAGCAGCTTTTGTCAAAGCACTTCATAACAAAGATGTAGAATTGGAAATTAACTCTCAAGGTTAGCATGCATGAGAAGATTCTTCATCAGCCTTCTAGATAATAAGCCAACCACATCAATCTCAATGAAAGAGTATACATAAAATTTGCTTATTTTGCAAATTGTAAGGATTGTTTATGCAGTATAATTTCCATAAGTTACACATGCCAAGTGCCATGTACCATTTCATACAAAAGTCAGACCTTTGCAAACATATTCCATGGAGCAACATGAAAGCATGTTACAGGGAACATAATGCATCAACAATGGCTAGATATATTTGGTATGTGTCATGGCAACATGATTCCTCATATCTGGAGATTCTACCAAGCTTGCTTCTACATAAGCAGAATTTCTAGTTCCAAAACTAGAACAAATTAGATATGCACAATTCTTGGTAAAAAATGAAGTTTAGTTGAACATGTATTATGCTGTTTCAAAGACCAAAATACCCATGGTGGTGAAAACAGTAGTAAAGAGCATAATTAATATTTGCAGTAGCACTTGCAGACAAACTTAAAAAGGCAGACCAGTGAATGCAGATCCAATAATGCAGGGTTTGGATAGAGTCAAGATTAGCAATCTTGTCCTTGCAAGGAAAGAAGTTATTTCCATGACTAAGAAGAGCCGATGCTTCTGAGGACAAACATGGGAAACATATAATACAGAATATCTTTTCAAAAAGTGGACAAAAATAAAGGTCTTTACCCCGTAGGTGCCAAGCTTATGTTGAGTCCTTTTTTCCGATTGGCCTTTTCTATTAATTTTTGTTTTGCATTTTCTTTGTAGAAACAATACCTTTGTTTCTAACATCTTCTAGAAAGATATATATTTTCTAATGTTTCATGTTGTATGATGCAATGTCTTGACCACAGGAGAAAAAAAAGACACTTGAGGAGAAAAAGTTTACCACGTCTAGTCTCTTAAGAGAAAGAGACAACCAAGTACTTGAGATCAGATGCATACATGAGTGCACGATAGTAACAAACATACCTATATCCTGCAGTTTGCAAAAACATCTTGAGGAGCTCAATTGATGAGAACTGCCTTCTGTAGCTATCACTCAAAAGCTTCAAGCTGCGGCCTAATTTACAGATATGACTACTCAAAATTTCTGAGAAAATTTCCACCGAGAATTCAGATCCACCTTCAAAACCCACCTTTGCCAATGTACTCGCTACTACCTTGCGAGTCATCTTGGATGCTTCCTCAGGACCAAGTGGTTTTTTCTCCGTTCCAGAACCATCTTTTCCCCTATATTTACCTCCAACCTTATGATATTCAGGCATGATGCCAAACCTTTCAATCATCGCCGGGCTCCGGCTTATTATGGTAGGCAAATTATCAAGAACCTCACGAACTTCAATATTCTGATTCTTCTCTGTGCCATTGCTTGGTGGGATAGCACTATCAGGTACACAATTAGAAGGGAACATTATTTCTGGAAAAAAGGTATAGTCTTCATCAGTCAAGTTAGTTAAATTAGAAGCACTCTTTGAATGCATAGAAGATCCATTTTCTGCCATAGGAACCCCAGTAGCCACATTCTGATCCCCTTTAAATGTTTGTCTCTTCCTTTTATGTGTATCACATAGCTTGAGGAACATAGACATTCCCTCGGATGTTCTCTTCTGTGGTTCCTTGTCACAATACGGGAATGTATGATGTCTCATTCGGTACTCACGAAGAAATTGGCTATACCATGTATCAAGGCGATCCTCAAGCCTATGCCTTGGGAACGAATTTATATTGTCGCCTTCATGGTACTTTGGCCCACTATTAGAAGACCTCTCATATGAATGCTCATTCACTTTGCTGGTGGTGAAAGCTGTTTTAATTTGAATCTACATCAGTCAAGAATTACATTGCTTATTAGCAGAAGGGGGAAAAACAATATGTTATATGTTCTTTACTTCCAAAAAAACGATAATTATAGATGAAAACGAATGCATAGGATTTTTGGTTAATAAATTAAGGCAACAATTTATAATTTAGAGATAAATACTTGAGATTCAAACAACCATGAATTCAAAGGCTTCAACAGTACAGAATAAATGTTGAAGCAAGAAACTACATTTAAATATGAATATGTTTTGATTTTTCATTGACATGAATGTTGAAGCAATATTGGTCACAGATCATCACCAAGCAAGTGAGCATGCAACAGAGTTTGGCATAATTATTAAAGCATTGGGGTATCTTGGTTGGAGGAAGTGGCTTACCCAAGGTGAAATTACAATGGAGATGAACTGCTTTAACTGTTTGCTTTAAAGAACTGAAAACCAGCAGAGACAATGAACTTACGCCACAAAGCCCAGTTTCTTAGAAATAATTTACATCATCTGAGAACTAAGGTCGAAGTCATTTTGGAAACTGAGTGCCCATCTACTAATATATTTCACTATTTCTCACCTTCCAAATGAAGTGAAAATGAAACACCATTTCCAAAAGCAGACCCCCAACAGGTCCACATGAGTCTCGTGTGCGCCACCCCCCGTTCTCTCTTCACTTTGATCCTTCACCTATCCAAGATAATAATAATAATGGAAATTGAAGATCCATTTTTTCCTTTTCAAACTCATATATACTTTTCTTGGTTTCTGGATCCTTTTTTGGATTTCATATATCTTAAATTTTTGGATCTGTTTCTTGGGATCCTGTAGAGATCTGTTCTAATTTAAGACACTGATAACTGGAAAAATTAACTTCCAGGGCATGAAAATTGACATTATGGTTCAAAAAACCACCATGACCAATTCATATTGGATGGTAAATACCAGTCCGACAGTGAACCAGGATGTGGGCCAGCCCTTTTCGGGTGGCTTGGTCAGCTTCAAGGATCACTGCTCGGTAACCAACTAAGACCATATTTGCCATTTGGTTTTTGCCCATTATTGAGCCTGGACCATGCAGCAAGCCACCTTCTGGTTCGGTTACTCCAAGAGACCCATGCTGGGGTCTCCTTGGGGTCTTTAAAGAGGGCTAAACAACCCTCTTTAACTCCTCTTCTCACACTCCTCTCATACTCTCTCAAATCTTTAAAGAGCTCACTTTATCAAGAAGGTTCAATTTTAAGATCTGGTCAGTTTTTTCTTTCAAATTAGGTAAACATCCATGCCTAATTTCTTAATGTAATCTCTTTTGTTTGTTGCAGTTATGTTGGGATTTGTTTAATGTCTTCCATCCAGACCTTTTTCCCTAATTAAAGTAGGCATGAACCTTGAGGATCTAAGCTACATCTGCGAGGACGAAGACTACATCCTTGTGGATCTATCCAAGATCTTCTCTATTTGGGTCTTCACAGCAAGGTAAAGTGTCACAGTCAATTAATCCTATTAATGCAAGTGACAAGCAATATATCCAGTTCGACAATGAGACACCATCACCCTCATAATATGCATCTCATGAGGTCCATGAAGATAGAAACGACATGGACAACAGAACTTCTACAAATGGTAGCTGGCATGAACAGTTACATGTTCCTGTTATGCACACACAAACAGGTGGTACGCGGACCTAGGAATAATATTTCAGACATGCTACCAGGGACACGGATCACGAAATACATGGATCCATATAGCTTGTTTGTGACTGCAAAGATAGGAAAGAAAAAGGCAATTGATTCATACAAGAAGATGAGATGGAGCCTACATGCTGTCAAATATAATAGTGGTGCATCATATTCACAATCTTCCTGCCATCTTGGATCTCATAACCAATAGTTACATTGTGATAATTGGTATTTTTTCAGTCAATTGCATTGTGACATACAACAACATTATAGTGACAAGAACTGTAGCTCCAGTGCGCTACATCCTAAAAAAGTGACAGGCCATCTAGGTGAAAAATGTCAGGAAGAAGTCCAAATTAAAAACTTACTGCAGTGCATCATGAAGCAAACAAGACTTAACAGCTATCTGTCAACTAGGAAGCATGGTTAAAAGAGACCATTGGGGTTTTTGCCTACTCCAATGTAGAATATCAGATCTACTGCAGAAAAAAGGTTATAGTGTATATGCATCCAGATGGCCACTTTAGGAATTGATCTAGAAAGTAGAAACAAAGCCTAGTTCTACCCATTAAAAAACAAAGGTCCTAGATCGCATATATTTAAATACTCTCTAGCAATCACATCCAGTGTGTCCAAGAGGCAACCAAATGAAATTCACATTTTTATATATGCACATGAAAGTGGTTGCATGTGAATCTACTGTTAAACAAGAAAGATACATATATTGCTTTGCAAAAAAAATAACAATACACAACTCTTCCTAATGTATGAAATTCTTCTAAAAATAAGATTCAATTTGCTGTTAAAATATGATAGAAAAGTTTTGGATAAAATGAATTTAATAAAAATTAAAACCAAAATTATGGATAATTAGCATTTACGTATAGTTGTAAACAACTGCATTATGATTAATAAGGTGGGCAGAGCTTACTTCATGTTGAACACCATCTTGTTGATCATCTTCCAATGAGTAATAAATATCATCCCCATGCAACTGCAGATCTGAAAGAAAGTTTCAAAAAGGAACCTAAATTTCAGAAATGAAAAGAAATATGGATGATTAGATCGAGAACAGATTGATGTATGATAATATGGGTAAAAAAAAATGATAATCATTCTCTGGAGAGTGAAGTTAATAGTCTTCATTTTAATCCCCATTTTTCAACATAATCCTGTAAAGAAGTTACTCTAAAACTAGAAAGCATAATAATTTTAATAAAGCATCTAAACTCTCGAAGCCAAAACAACTTTAATAAAGTATTTAAATTCTTCCAAGGACTGTTGTCCTATACCAACCATGGCTGGATTGATACCAGTCAGTATCGATGTAGCGACACATGGTACATCGGACATACCAGAATTTCGAGAAGATGGCTGAAAAATCAGTTGAAATTAAAAAAAAATATTTCAAAATTTTCTTCTCATATGTTTTTGGTATATAAATTCAATAAAGTATATCTAAGATATCACGCAATAGAAATTCTAAGCTAATGTGAACAAAGATAGAAATTATTATCTCTTCGGACCCATTGAAGAAATCTATTGCACAGTCCTCTTCATGCTAAAATACCTCTAATTAGAACTTAACTAGTCACTAATCCCTAATCAATCAATAATTACCAATAATCTTAGGCTAATTACATGAAATTATGATAAAACACGTAGACATTAGGTGAAAATCTTAAATTGAAGATAACTACCACCTGATCTCAAGATTCCAAGCCACTTTGATTCAAATCAACCTCCATTAATCACAACTTGAAATCAAAAGAGTGAGAAAAAGGGTAAGAAGTGAGATTGAGAGTGAGAAAGACAGAAATGAGAGCGACAAAGTGTGTGAGAAAGAGAGTGAATGAAAGTAAGAGAGAGTGAGAGGAGGCAGCCAAGAGGGCGTTAAATGACCTCTAAAAGTGGGCAATGATCAAATTCGACTGTTGGCACATGGTACCAGTCGAAAGTGGACCGTTATCAACCAGTACAACTGTTACTGACTGGTACCATTTCGAATTTTGGCTGTGCCACCTGGTACAGTAGGTGTCCCAGCTGGTATGCCTTATACCACTGATTTCACCCAAAATCAGCTGGTCCAGGTTTCAGAAAATGTTAGACCAATTGTACTGCCCATACCATACCTTTATGGGTGAAATTACAGTCCTTGCTTCCAAGATAATAGTGACAGATAGTGAAAAGTTCGAAATATAAGAGCCTATTCTTATGTTTAAAAAAAAATGGAAATTAACATATAAACAATGTAAAGAATGTCAGACAGATTAAATTGGCATTACATAAATCTGTCAATCATAAATTAACAACCATAAAGTCCATTTCAGTTTCTCAACCAGTATAAGTTAACACAAAAAATGTTAATGTTACGTTCCACAAGGGCAGTCTGTGTCACTGAACAAAATAAAGAAAAGGTTGTGGTGATATCAGATCACCAAAGAAGGATGTCATAGCACCTAGATTCTGGTAACAATCCATCAGACACCAACAGGAACTTTTGTATTCAATTGAGGGCAGTGAATTTGACAATTTCGTAGGATGTTTAGGGCAATTCTCTGTCACTTGTCACTCTCCATTCTCACTCCTCTCATTCGCCTTCTCTCCATCTCTCTTCCTCTGCAAATGCTACTGAGGCACTAGAGAACCATCAGCTTCACCTTGAACACATTGCTATCGTGGAACTTCACAAGGAGAGGAAGTAACTAGACATGATGGGTCTGCAGCAAAGGCAGCAGTGTTAATGATAATGGTGGTAAGAGAATAACAGTAATCTAGGCATGGTGGTCCTAATCACAGAGGAGGGCATAAGTGAAAGGGTGGATCATTGCAGCAAGGGCCAAGGGTATGAATGACCATAGAGGAGTATGCAGAAAATTGAAGTTAAATAAAGCTTAGTCCAATTTTTGACCAAGATAATGAATTAAAAACAAGCTTTTGTTGAAAAATATTAGTCTGATGTTCCTTTACAAATCAGGGACACTAGGAATTTTACAAATGTAGACAACTTTGTATCCCAAATGCTTTTCTTCCCTTAAATCCATGATGATTTGACATTTCATTGTAAAAGCAATTAAAACTCTACATGTTACTTTACCCAAAATGTTCCACATGGGCAAAAATACTTCAATGTGTAATATATCATTCTTCTGTCAGAATCTAATAGCACACTCAGCATGTAGACAACCTTCTTATTAATTCTAACAACTTCTTTAGTCACAGTTCGCAACAATTTAGTCACCGAATATTCAGTTCAAATACACCACAAGAATACGATAACCTTATACATGACATACATTCTAGTACGAATATTCTTCCATTGGATTGTACATCCTGGTAAGAACATGTTTCCATCAGCTAACACTATTCAGTACTCACCTCCATGAATACATTGAAAAGATACTCAAAATTATCAGAATATACCCTTCAAAAATCACACTAGAATGGATGAATCCAGTTAGCATCCAAAATATGAACAAGTGATTTCCTAAAAGACATTTTCATCCAACACTGGAACAAGAAACAGACAACACATAGTAGATAGTTGGAACCTCATCATCAGGTCACATGGTCAAAAGTCCAAAAATGAGTTACTTGCTATAACTGAAAAAAAGCAAAACAAAGAAACACATATCAGCAAAATATTTGTAGATCATTCACAGCACACACACGATGTTACGATTTGTCCTCTTCAGAATATCAATCAGAGGATCAAGTTACTAAATTGTCTCTGAATAGCTAGCGTAACGAGATCCGTAACCTCACCGGTTAACAGAGATAATCCCTTCTTCGACTTCCTTGCATTTAAAGATGCTTGATTATGATTAATTACGTATAAAATTAACATTTAATTAAAAATTAAAGCCGCAAGAGGAAGAAACAATCGTAAAAAAAGTCGATGCTTTTGTTTCATCCACCGGGGAAAGGTAAGAAACAGCTCTATTCCCGAGAAACCTAAATGAAGGAAACTAGGGGAAGGGACGGCTTACAATCGGGGTTGAGGTCGGCGAGGGAAGGGGCGCTGTTTCCGGCGGCGGGGGCTGGGCGGAGGAAGAGGGCGGCGGAGGCCTTGTCGAAGAGGAGGGCGCGGACGCGGAGCTGTAGGTGGAGGTGGGCCCGAGAGGGGGAAGGCGAAGGGGAGATGAAGGCGTCCCAGGCGGCGGGGGAGGCAAGGTTGTGGGCGAAGGCGGAGTAGGCGGCGTCGCCCAGCCACGCACGCCACGCGCCGCAGCCCTCGAGCCGCCGCGCGAGCTCGTAGCCCCGGCCGTCCTCCCCCAGCAGCGACGCCGCCATCGGGAATCGATGGATCCGATCCCTCCCGAGACGAGGCCGAAGCAAACCCTCCTCTCCCTTCTTCGTTCAATCTTCCCCCTTCCTTTCACTTATATTTGTTGGCAGCAGACGACGCCGCACGGATTTTGGACAAATCCGTCCGAGAGGAGGAATAAGTGAAATCACTCTCTCACAACAACGGAAGATTTGTTAGAATCAATATTGTTTTGACTTCCATCACAGAGCGATCGTCTTTAAAAATAATAATAATAATTTAAATAGTCATTATTGAATCAATATTGAAATTTTTCTAAAGCTCTTGGACACGTCGTTATTGAAACTAATTCAATTATATATATTATATATATATATAGGTCAAATTTATAATAATTAATGTTATCAAACCACAATAATATTTTAAATGTGCTATTCAAATAATTTTAAACCATATTTTATTTATAAAATTTTAAGGATAATGACTACAAATATGATTTTTTTTTTATTTTTACTTTCATTTTAGAGATGTTATTCACAAGTACGTACGAAAAAATTAAGAAGCGAATTCTGAAATTTTAATACCAATAATGAAAATGTTAATATGAAATGCATATACTGTTTATATTTAAATTTGGTGATACATATCTATTGCGCTGTTTTTTAATAGTATTTATATTTCAAATAATATATAAAATATTATCCAAAATTAACGTAAAGGATTGACAGTACACAAGAACCCAATACTGCCAAAGGATTGACAGTAGATTCTAAAGACATGAAAATAACCTTGAAATATGACAATGAAGTACACGTTAAATTTTAGACAGTCACAATATGGACTATTTCTTCATAGAATTGCTACATGGATCGCTATCCTCTCAGCTAGAGTTTAACATTGTGCCTCTGCATGACAAAGAAGGCAACAATTAAATCCAGAAATTCTGGCAATTGATCAGCATAAAGGCGTATTATACATCGATACAATGAATTACTTCCTCAAAATTGCCATCGCGTATTAATAGAGTTGAAATCTCAAACTTCCAAGAGGCTGAGTACCCATCTACATTCTACACATTTGATCTCCAAACCCCAGTTCTGCAGTGGATGCGGATTGCTAATAGATGTTTTGTCATCTGCAAGCTCGTGTTGTGAGACTTGATGGCTTTCATGAACTTGTAGCAACCGTTGGTTCCAGACACCAGAAATTATCGTAAGCTAATACTCCATCAGAGCTGTGAATAAGCCAACCTGTTCTTCGGCAGACTCCCTAGAAGTCGCCTGTATCTTCATCCTTGGTGCTAGGGCCATCATCAAAACCTGTTCCTGGAGCAAGCTCGTTCAGGTCTAGGAACCTGATTTTTTGGACACCATCACCTTCGTGTCGGTTTCCATCTGTCTTTTCTACTGATTGTTGCTGCTCTTTCTGCTCAGCCTCAACATGGTCCATGGTCATCTTGTTCTCTGCTATTTCTTGACTGCCTTCTTCATCTTCATTCTGAGATTCTTGACTTTCTGTTGAAAGTTCCAAGTCATCAGATGCATCTGTTGCATTTGACTTGCTTGGCTTTGTGGAATCTGTATCTGTATCAGATAGCTCATATTGACGGTAATTTACACGTGTTCGCATAGCTCTCTTGCTACGTCTTAGGCCTGTCTGGAGTTCATCAACTGATCTCAATTTTGTTTCCCGCCTAGTTCGATTTGGCAACGTCCTATGATGATTTGGCTCCTCCACATCTTCACTAGTACTCAAAGAAAATTCCTCTTCCTCATCATCTTCTGCATTTTCCTCCTCCCACCGGTACTCTTCATCCCCCTCGGAACCACTTGATGCCTTTCTCTGTTTTCGACTTCTCAGATATTCCTCATCATATACTGCTTCGCCTACGATGTCATCATCACTGTCAAAGTCTGCATCAATATCAGAAACAATATCCACAAAATCTTTCTCCAAGTATCTCTGAGGTCTTTTCCTTCGCCTATTGCTGAGTTCCATGAGTGCAAATGTGACTCAGATATAACAAATTATAATTTGAACTATACATCTCAATATAAGCACAAAAGAAAAGGTACCTGCGATCAAGAGGCTCATCCTGGTGTTCTACATCAGTTTCTTCATTGTCATTTGACTTCGGGGACTGTGCATCATAGTCAACTAGATCTATTTCTGAAGAGCCATTCCATTTACCATTAGTAGATACCTCAGTTCTCCCAACAACTGCTCTTCTAACGACATTCTCAGGTGAGCTCTGTCTTTTCCTAGATCATACAATGTAAAATCGGAAGAGTAAAGGATAAGCCCATATTCTTCAAAGAATCAATGACATGCAGTATATATATGGAGAAAGGAGATGGTATACATACTTGGTAATTTTGATAGCTTCATTGATGGAGCGGTCATAATCATCTGAAAAATTGTTTAACATGTAACTTTCACTAGAAATCAGAAAAGAGAACCTAAACAACTACATTTCAATTAATCAGGAATAATCAATATCCTTAAATGCATCCACCTTTTAAAACTCAAAACTGCCAATGTCAAACGTTCACAGGATCAACTTTTCCAGCTTAAGCATATCTAGCCATGTCCTCTTCCAGATAATTTAGTTCTCATGTACATCAAAATCACCAAAATAAACACTTATCATAGTGCACAAAAAACTTGAGCACGACATCTTCGAGCCCACATTTTTCCACACAGGAAATACTGGAACCTAGTTCAATGACAAGCTTATGTATGACAAAAGACCTGACTCACCACAGGAGCTTCAAGGATATGATTCACGAGATACAAAGAACTGGATACCAAGAAATTGGATTTCGCCCAGACCGGTATGTAATGCCTGCCTTACATTTATCTATACATTTATTTCCTTATCTTTGACAAATTAATCAACGGAACACCAGCTTATTTCACTTCAAATTGATCCTAGACTAATTACTCAGAGCCTTAGCCTATTGCAGTAGCCTCCAAACAATATGATTACATCGTACAACATCAACATTTAACACAACAAAACCTCCCAATTAACAATAATAATCATGGTGCCTATCTCGAGGAATCAGAAACCAAAATGAGAAGTGGTCTATGGTAATATAAAAAAGGTCAATGGAATACATAGTTATTTTGCCATTCCCTCCCTAAAACCTAGTAATATATAGAGAATTAGTATGCCAACAATCAATCAATTCAATATATCTAAAAGCACAAGGTTTTTGTGATACATTATAATAGGCTAATAGCATCCTAATTTCTAGAGATTATAGGGTTTCCACAACCAAAGAGAAAAAGGGAAAATGAGTGTGACGGCAATACATGCAACGTAGACACAATATTATGATAAAAGCACAAGAGTAAGCTAAGCAAGTAGTATAATCAAAACATTGTTCACAACATATTAAACATTGTGTTAGAACATCATAGTAGAATATCATTAAACTTTAGATGGTAAAATTAAGGATCTCACCAAAAGTATATGTGACAGGTTTTCTATCACGAAGAGCACGACCTGACGAAATTCCATCAGCAGTAAAAAGGCTGTCGAGGAGGAGGGCTTCTCTGTGTTGCTTTTTCAACAGCCTCTCCTTTTTCTGTTTGAATGACCAAAATATCAGAACAATTAGTAGACATTATTGACTTTAAATTATGCAAGGCTATTACACAATTTATCGAATACCATAAACAAGGCAATTAAAATTTAAAACCATAAGTATTAAGGTAGAAAGAATCCCATACTTTATGAATTTTTTCAATTTCTGGCAATGAATCAATCTTTAGTTTCTTCCCAACAGAGGCTTCTGTTCTATTTTTACTTGAAAAGAGTTTCTCCTGGAAACACACATAGAAAATTAATATGTAACAGCTGAGACATACAAAAGAGGAACTAACAAACCACCACTGATATCTTACATGATATACATTAACAAGTTTACAGTAAATGCATGAGCTAGCAAGACGATCATGCATTTGAGATGGTACCGCCAGAAATCAAGCCAAGATATCTCTTGTTTCAGTTGACAAGTATTGATGCAAAATGGAGGGCTGTCGTAGTGCAAACTCAAACTTTAATTTAATAAAAAGTTTTATCGCCAGACTCAGGCAACATACAAATGCAAAAGTAATTAAATAAAGAAATAACATAAAAAACACTATACGGTTTCTTTCATCCAAAAATTCATCATATCCCATTTTAGTTGTTTAAGCGCCTTAAAGATTTATTTCCAAATTAATCATTCATCTATAGCTAAGATTGGAAAAGATAAAGGATTTTATATTATCTTCAAGTTGAACACTCATCTAAAACTACACAAAAGATATGATCTTATCTTATCATCAAAAGATAAAAGCTATAATAAGACAAAACTTATCCTAATAAACCCAACATCAAAATACACCAATTAGTGTTGTCAAAAGCATTAGCACTATAAGGCGCCAAGGTATCTTTTTGCTTGAGATGCTAGGAGCTTGCCTAAGCATGGCAAGATGCCTTACATAAATTATAAAGAATTGCTAAGGATAAAGATGGAAGAGGAGAAGCAGCGAATAGAGGAAAGAAGAAGAGGATGGGTAGAGAAGCAGGGAAGGCAGCGACAACAATGATTGTTGGTGTGGAGAGAGGAGAGAAGGACAAGGAAGAAAAAAAGAGGGAGGAGAGTGACAGTGGAGATGATTTTGGCTGCAGAAAGAGGACAGGAGAAGATAAAAGAAGAGGGTGGGAAAGGTGGGAGCAGGTACAAGTGCTACTCATGGAGAGAGGAGACTAGAAGAAGAAGAAGGAGGGAGGGGATAAAAAAGGGGAGAGAGGATGGAGACAATAATGGAGCACCAACAAAGAGAGTACAAATAAGAGGGACTGAAGAACAGAGGCGGCATATCAACAAGAGAGGATCATAGAAGAGGTAATCAACAGTAGGGGAACATAAATCCCCTAGGCCATGGCATGAACAAACACAATAAAAGTAACTAGGTTGGATCTTGCACATTGAATTGATTATTGAGTCAGATTCGATGAATTTGGGTCCACAAACCCAGATGGGCGGGATACCCATGCCTAAACTGAGGTTGTCACCTAAGCATCCAGGCGAGCATTTGAGTGACGCTTAACAACATTGAATGCAATCCAAATTCCAACAAGCTAAAAACTTCTTTTTAATTGGGATGCATTAAATACTATACAACATGGCTTATCAAAGAAGTATTAAGCAGCATGACAAACATAAGGACATACCAAAAAAGCATACGACAGCATGTAATATGTAATTTATATTATTGAAACATAAGGACATACCAAAAAAGCATACGATAGCATGTGAATACTATCGACAATAATATCAACTCTAAGAACCCTAAAATTTAAAAACTTTGTTGTGTTTATTGAATAAAGCACTAAAAACAAAGGTCACGACCTTGATTCAACAAAGGAAAGAACTCAAACCTCATAGAGCAACAAAATATGTAAAAAATGTTCATGCATAAGCCATAAACAGAATATGACAGAGGCACATTAATGAAGCAAACATAAACTTATTTTGTTTTCCTCAGATTTCTCATGAAGTGCATTGTTAGCAACCAGCAAAGTATAACAATACTATTAATTATGAAAGCAAAGGAAGATGAATTTACCTTACCAAGATTAAAAAAAGGAAAAAAAAAAAAGAACATTAACAAAGGTATTGCTGAATTCTGCAGTTCATTTTCTTTTATTCCTAATGGTTATAAACAATTTATATTAGCTGCATCACCATGAGCATTGTGCAGTTAAACTACCAAACACCCAACAAGGAGAAACTCACTGAAACATCTTGAAATTCATCTAAGTTGGTTGCAACAGTTTCCCACTGAAAAGATATAACAGGGGCAGATGATGATCCCTTTGTCCTGATCTTTTTTGCTTCAACCCGTCTAATCTCCCGATATAATCGATGGCCAATAATTGGATCATCTTCATACCTACAAAATAAAGAAATTAAGCAATTGCCATATTCCAAATCATGAAACATGCAATATGACTATAGGGAAAGTATTAAGGATATAAACATGTATAAGATCTGGGGTCACTTGCAAAGATAACAATGAAGGTAATCAGGCTACCAATAAGAAATCCCATGTGAATCACCACCAATCCTTTCTTTGCGAAAGGCTGAGAGTTGAATGCCTCGTTTTAAGGAGTTGTCGATAAAATTCCGAATATCTTCTTGCTACAAAATGCAAAATATGAAGTCAGCTTTCAGTATCAAGTGGACCCAACCAAAAGCTATTTAAAACTCAGTTCAACATAGTTGAGGCTCTACTGTTATAGTTCAAATACAAAGCCATACTGTTGGTTCATAAAAAAGCTGGAAATTTGGCATCATAGTGGCATTTCTACCATATATAGTGCCACCCACAGCATATGATACAGTACAAAAAGTGTATGCAAAAGGCCCAAGCAGATGATAAGGAAAAAAATGGCCAAAGAGCAGCATATAGGGTGCCAGCAAACCATGAACATTTACAAGGAGATAGTACTGATTGACAATGGTCAAAATACTGGTCCCACACTGATATTAGAACTCTATTAAAATAGTAAATGTTGGTACACTCCAAAAATATTTTAAGATATTATTAAATATCGATACGTGGTCAGTATACTGTGATATCTACATTTTCCTTCTTTTTCAGTGTCAATGTTTTACTATTCTACATTGCAAGTTTTTTATTCCTTGATTTATGATATTTGAGTAGGCAATGTTTACATCAAAGAAGTGAAGAAAAAGTTGAGGGGAATTTCTTTCAGTTTTACAACAACAACAAGCAGCAATCTTTCAACTATTTAAGGATGATGGCATGGATCTTTTATACCATTTAATCTGAAGGACATCTGGCGATCACATTAAGACCCCTATGCTCCTCTCCACTGTAAACATCCATTTGTTATTCTGTAGGTAACATATGCATCAATCTCTCTGTTTTGTATAATAGATCTACCATACATAAAACTGTTATATACATCAACTTCTTATCCATCTACCTTACATAACATATTCAATTCTTCTCTTAATATTATTAAAATCACATTTCATTGTATTTAGTCTAAGATCTACTTAATTCAAAAATATTAGTTTCCAGTGTTTGGCTCTATAACAAGTTTAGCATTGATTAGATCTAAACTCTCATGGGTTATCTTGCATATGATTGGTAAATTCATCCATTACTAACATAAAATGGTAAAAACTTAAAGTTGATCCTTGATATAGTCCTATAATTAAATAAAACTCGCTACACACACTCCTTATATATCCTTGGTAAGTCCACTATTACAAATATCTTTTACGACATCAATATAATTAGGCATTGCATCTTTCTTTCCTAAGACTCACCATGATAAATCTCTAGCAACTCTACTATAGGTTTTTTTTAGGTCAATAAAAAGAATATGGAAATTGTTCTTTTTCTCTCTACATTTTTTTCATTAATTCTGATTTAATAAATAAAAATATTCATGACTGATTTTTCAGTATAAAATCAAATTGCTTCTTGAAATATTCCTCAATCACCCTTTCTCAAAGTCTACATGACATCAAAGGAACCCTGAAAGAATAAACTTCATTTGCATAAAGAACAATCGGAAAGAGGAACTAAGCCAGTCTGTGCAAGGAAAAGGAATTAGCTATACATTTTTCAACTTGACACTCAAGATAGAAGCCCACATTAAACAACAAATCAGAGGTAATGTTATTCATGGATGAAGATTGATATAGTAGAAGCACCTCAACACGTATGTCACACAGTGCTTTCAAAATCAGTACACGTGTCCCAGGATCAAGAGTCTTATATGTCTCAATCTCTGCCCTGGAAAAAAGTATAATTTGAAGTAGTGTCAGGCTGTCAGCTGAATATGCTATATGTAACTTTAAACCCCCTGCATATTCGTACTCACCCATGGGATGCAACAATTGGTATCTCACCATCAGCAACCTGCAGCAAATAACAATTAGCTTATCCCATAATATGATCTCTTTGGTGTAATACTTTTAGCATCAAACAAGCTGCATACCCAGTGCCACCAATCTCTTAATTTCCTGCAGAGTACTGTAACCCAGGTTGCACGCCCTAATGCCATGCGAGTTACTGGAGGAATTGCCTATCAACATGCCAATGGGATAACAACAATAATGCATAATCTAACTTTTCTTAACAAATTCATATAAATCCATCTTTCTCAAGTAATAATCACGTGAAGTTACAAAAGAAAATCACGGCCAATAGTATCCTAACAATGCCAACAGATGAGAGATCTGTTTCCCAAGCCAGGATGGTACTCAAACTACATTACAGGAAAGAAATAAACAAACATAATAAATCATCAAAAGCAAGATCTATGGCTTGAGCATGCACAGAAAGATTAACCGATGCTGATTATAAAGCAAGATAATTTTAACGACATAATAAGCATGAAAAACCGAAAAACCCCAGTTACCTGGATAAGATGTTACTCCTAACAAGCACTAAAATAGAGACCATACATAAAGGATGCTAAAGTATAAACTAGCGAGTACTTCAACTTGCAGCTCACCAAAACTCGATTGTTATGAAATATATTATAAAAGAATAAAATTCATGATGCACTTATTTCTACCTCCTTTGTCAGCTGAACTACATCCATATGGTGAATATATTCAGTCATCAGAAAGGAAAAGCAAGGAGGATAGTCAGTTCCTTTTCCATGTAGGAAAAAAGCAATAGTCCCTAAAATTGGTAACTAAAACGACCCAATCAATGGCCTCTTCATGTAATTGAAACCAACCACTGATGCAGCATTAAAAAAATAAAGATTACAGAATTTGATCAGAAGTATTTTTGTTGTTCTGCAGTAAGAACACGCTTGATGTTGGTGATTCTGAGCAATGTATAAAAGCTTTGTACAATACAGGTTCTGATACCTTGTTAGACTGGTATGGTACCGATATAACAAATTATACCATCCTATATTATTGAAAGCGCGAAATGATCCAAAATCAGTCCTTGGTCGGACTGGTAAGTACTGGACAAAACATACCAGCCTGACCAGTATCTAAAATGTTGATTCTTAGTATCGAATAATTTATAAAGCAGCTGTGTCATGTATATACTCTTAATGTTGATCCCACCTATTGTCCTTCAAAGAAATCTAATCAGCTGATACCTAAACATCGCAAACAGCAAGCAGCTTGCATAATTACATCATATTTAGCCCATGACTTATTAGGCAGTCAAGCTTAATTTCTTCTCAAAGTAATGAGCTGCTATTATTTAGAGAACAACAGAAAGATATACCTCATCTAATTTTGCACCGAGAACCCCTACACAGTTCTAACATCTAACACACAAAAAACAAACTGACTTTTTCCTAAAAATGCTGATCATTTGTGAAACCAAAGACTTTCTACAGTAAGAGTTTCTGCATAGACCTAGAAACAAGTAAACACAAGAAAATGAGTAGCAGTACTGGCATGGCTAATTTCTCAAGTGACTACCATTTAGCAATAAGTTACTATAGAATTTTGATGATGAAAATTTGCAAATTTAATGTAAAAATGTTGCAAAATTTCAATCTGATAGTCATTTAACACTTTTGAAAAGGAATTTGACTTCTTGTTATTAAAAACACATGACACTTATTATATAAGATATCAACCAAAAGGCATTTCAGCATAGTCGCATACGTAGATTTTGGAACAGTAAGCATAAGCTTATCATTTCATTATAGATTAGTAGGAAATTAAAACAAGAAGCAATAACATTTTGCTGGAAATCTACTATGTTCTGTTGAAATGCTATTTCTTTTAACTAAAAAGCATAATTTCAAGTGACAATGAAGCTCCTTTTGTTACAAACAGAGATACTTGATTTTGGAATTAAATGATTCAACATGTCCAGTATTCTGGGAATACAAAGTAAGACAAGTCCTTCCATAACAGTAACACTTCGGTCACAGACGACGCATTCAGATGAGTTTTGTGGTCATTTTAGGCTCATTGGCTGAAAATATTCTACCATGATATTCATACGCAATTCAAGAACATTATTGAGGGGAAGAAAGTTAAAACAACCTCGTGTCCTCAACATTCAATGAAATATCCAGATAAAAAAATAAGCTTGTGCACACACAAAATCGCAAATAAAAACTAATTTGCAGCTTTCTGGAATTCATGCATCTATTATGAAAGAACCAAATAATAAGTTGTGACATTTAACTGCCAAAACTCATAGAATAATTTAAAATCAGACTGAGTTCAATGATAGAGCAAAACTTTAGGTCGAAAAAATTTTATGGCAAGTTTGATTTTCCAACCTCTAAAAACTTGAAACAAAAACCTAGCAACAAAAAGCTAGGGCAGAATAGGGGCTTACATGAATAATACATGTCATAACTCGAGGTTATAACTCTCCATGAACCCCTCATAAATCTGACTTGAAATGATTAGATAAATAAAAAAATACAGATTCTCAAAATAAAAGAAATACAGGTTCTATGTAGCTAGTTATCTTTATGTATAATGCAAGCTACCAACTCTCATTTTGCAGAAGAAACCAATTAGTTGGCTTAAGCTTGGATAGATCTGATAGTTCAGGTCAATTTCAATCCTATTTAGGTAATTCATTTATTGCCGACAGGAGAGAATAACAGCAGTTAAACTTAAAAGTCAAGCTTCAGTATAAATTCTCAATGTCCTAGTATCATCATTTCTTTTGGTAGTACTTCTGCAAGCACTTAGATATGGTCGATGTTCATAGGGCGACAGGGGTTTTCTAAATACATATATGTTATGAAATCTATACCAGTAAGGACTTATTCTTAAGTTCCACAAACTTTGAGGTATTTTAGCACTTTAAATAAGAGGCCTTTGTGAACCCAAAAGGATGATGACACTTCTATTTTCAAATTCTTTTATATTTTCAGTATTTATCCACAGTAGTTTAGTTTGCAACTTTTACTTTCATGTAACTGAACATTTGGAACTGTTTTAGTTAGCATAACTTCAAGGAGTATGAAAACATGTCAATGTCATCATCTTAGAATTTTTCCCTAGGAGTTTCACAAGAACTAAATAATAATGAACATTAATGACGCATATCACCAGAATAACTCAATTCATCTCACTTCTACTTTATATATCCTCAAAACAGAACATGGTTCTGATTTTGGTGCCTATGGGTTGCACATTTACCATGATATCCAATGAGTGAGCAATTGTGTAAACAATTAATATAAAACTACATCAAAGAGCAGGATCATACCCTAGTCCAACAAAGAGTGAAAGTTATGTCACATTTCTAGAACTTGGGTCTACCCAAACATCATTAAGGAAATCATCACTACATATTCCATGATTAGGATATTACTAACTTAAAATTGCAATTCATATTATTGATATCATATAGCATAATTAATGCTCTTGAACCAAGCCTTCCGCTGCTTAAAACAAAAACCTGGCACTTAATGAAAATGCAGCAAGGTCCATTTAATAACAAATTAATTGAGAAAGAAGAGTGTGTGCCCCACATACAAAGAGATGCAGTTCATAGAAGAAAAAAAATTCGAGAAGCAAGAAATAATTGTTGGCTCTGTCGAAAGGTCTTTCATTTAATTATTCCAGAAAGTGCAAATTATTCAGCAATTGTAGTTATTCTTGATCATTGTGGCCAAACCATTCCTGGACAAAAACCAAAGTGTTCATTACCAGACACTCCAGACCTTATGTTAATGAGTCAAAAGGCCAATGCCACCGACAGGATAGACAGAAAGATCAAGAATAGAGTTGCAAAAACCCACACTGATCCAGCGAGCCAGATAAGTTGCAGCTAAGATCTTTATTAGTAAAGTATCAGGAGGTACAATTCAAGGAAAGAAGTGTCAGCTTTTCAAGGAAATTCGCATTCAAAATCTAGTTATCAAAGAGAGAATTTGCAATACGAGAGAATCAAATTTGCAAGAGAGAAATTCAAAAACTTTACAGTTATTGAAACGACGATATGCAATGTAACACAGACCAGGACGACCGAAGATAAAACTACAATCTTTACGTTCAAACTAGAAAGAACGAACCTTTAGCAGAGGCATGTGCACGTCATCCAGGGTGCTGTTTGGCGTGATCAGCGCCGTCTCGAGTTCTTCAGCCGAAAACTCCATCCCAATATTAAGCAATGGTCTGAAAACCTAGGGAAACCAAGCAAGAACATAAGCAACCCTCACAAACCCTAGCGAACAAAGCAAGGTCGCCTCGGGAGGAGGGAGCTTTACGGCAGGGGGGCGCTCACATGGAGGAAGTTGAGGACGGAGGCAAGTTCCCACATGGAACGGAGCTCCCACCGGGGCAGCTGCGACGGCGGCGGGGGCTGGACGAGCGGCATGATCACCCGCCCAGCCTTCTGCTGCTGCTCCTTCTCCCGCCGGGTGACGGGGCGGCGCTCCGGCGGCGGGGGCCGAGCGGCGGCGGGGGGGCGAGAGGTGCAGGCTCGTGGGAAGCGGGTCTTGCGGGGCGAGGGGTCAGCCTGCGGCGGAGGCGGCTGGAGGTCCTCCCCCCGGGGGAGGAGGATTCGTCCGCGGCCGGGGGCGGCGCGGCCGGGGGATCGTCGGGCATGGGAGCGAAAATTAGTTTAGATGGGGGGAGATCGGGCGGCGGGGAGGCAGGGGCGGCGGCGGGGGGCCGGTCGAGGAGGGAGGAAGAGGAAGAGGGGAGGAGGCGACGGCATGGAGAAGAAGCGGAGGCCATGAGAGGAAGGGGAGGGGAATTAGGGGAGGTTGGGAGAGGGTATTATGGGGTTTTCAACGCTATCTTCTCTTTACTATGCTTCTTTGCCTCTCTATTTTTCTCTAAATATTATTTCTTAACGGTATAATATGGAGATCTTAAATTAATTTTTTATATATTTATTTTAAATTTTATTCTTTATTTTTTTCATAAAATAAGTGATGAAAAAAGCGGGATTTAAAGTGTCAAGATTTTTTTATTTATTATTCTCTTTCTTCTTAAATCCTCATTTTTATTATCTATTTACTGAGAAGAGATTAAGAGAAATGTGGTGCTGCCTTAATTGCATTGTTACAGGGAAGTCGGTGATTAGTAAGTAAGCAGACATACTTCCATTTGGGTTCCACTTGGATCTTTGGATTGGGCTGAGTTAGTACATATTTCTTTCTCTCTCTTTATATATAAATATATTAATATTGTAATTTATCTGGACCATGGTCATAATAATAATAATAATAATAATGTTAAAATTTAAAATGATATTAACATTTTATATAATATATATATCCTTATTAAATTGGTAATTTTGTACTTGATCCTCTAAATTTAAGATTAGAAAATGTGAAGCCAAATATACACATCTTTTTTTATTTATTTTTAAAAGTATTTGAAATCTTAATATCACATAAGTTTTTTTATTAAAAGATAAAAGATAATAAAAAAATTATATTTGGTATCCGCTAGGCCTCTCCACATGTTTCCTTCATCTCATCATCTTAACTAATACCATAAAAATGTATTCTATAAAAGATAAAATGTATGGTTTGACTTGTTAATTCACCAATTCAACCAATAAACCAAGGTCTAATTGCTAGTTTTACAGTTTTTTGTTTTGATTATTTTTTCATTCAATTTATTTGTTTAGCTTTATTTATGGTGTGGTGTTTTAACATCCTATGGTGATTTCACTATTTCACTAACTAATAAAAAAGAGTCCATGCATAATTAGGATAGTAAAGTGCTTAATCATTAGAATTTTGACCATCAAATACATCTAATTTCACATGTAATTTTTCTTGCTTATATTGAATGCAAGTGTGGGTTGGATATGATCCATTCAAAAAAAAAAAATTCTATATTCAATAGTATCTTCTTCAAACATCCAAATATCTGAACATTTATTAATTGCTCCTTCAATTGTTATTGACCTCTAAAGATGGAATGAGTCATAGGTTGATCATCTGCTGGCTCAATCATTATCAGTGTTTTGAAGACAAATCCTGCCAAAATTATTATAGTTATCTAATTGGACTTGTTTATTTTTATAATATCAATATGAATGAACTTCAAACTACTAAATTTACCAATGTTAAAATAAGGAAAAAAATGCTATTAGATTGTATTAGGCCTTCCCATTTATCAACTACTATTAGTGACTTGATAGATTGAGAAGATCTTAGTCTCATGAAGAGTTAGTTACCTCTCAGTGCCCAAATGTATGAGCATTTCACTTCACTATGATAAAAAAAAATCAGCTAAATTAACTTATTTGGATTGGAGACTTAAGTGATATTCTTTTAATAATGCAAATGCTAACTTCATTCTTTCCTCATTAGATAATTTTATTCCATAATATGAGCTCATTTTAAAGTAGAAATCTATTTAGCTAAAATAATAATTATTATTTTCTTTTTACTATTTTTAAGAAATGTTAAAACCATCACCACTAATAACGCGAGTAGAGATGAAAGAAAGATCTAAAACTATTTTATTAAAAAATATTTAAAAATAAAATATTATTAATTTAATTAAAATAATAGTTTTCTAATAGTTCATTTGTAATCGTCATCGTTATTGTTATCGTTATCGTTATAAGATCTTTATAAGGCAAGAAACATAATCTTAAACTTTTAACTAAGCAAAAGTATCTATTCTGATTTTTTATTTTAAAAATAAAATAAAATAAAATTACCCATTCATTAAATAAAAATAAAAAATAAAATCAGGTAAGCCATTTATAAGGTTCACTTCGTGTCAAAGGAAAATAAGGTTGGTCTCATATCATTTTCCATGAGTTCGTTTCTTAGTCCATTGTTGCCGGAAGAACCAGTCGATTTAATAGCCTAAATCTCAATTGTTCGTAAACGAGCAATCACTAATTATTTTGACATCAAACAATCTATTTGTAAGCATTTCTAGATTTAATAAAGAATGATATTTTTACAATTGTAATAAAATTTAATGAATTATGGATACTTTATCTAGAAAAATCTCGACTTATTAGTTTTTACGTCCTCAGTTAAGAAATTAGTATATTTATTATATAGTTTTGATGGGAGTAAGTATAAATCCATCTAAATCGAGTGAATCGATTTATTGATATGAATTAGTTCATTTTATTTTTTAAATGATTTATAAAAAGCTTATAAATAAATTTTTAATAGAGATATATCATCCAATAAAAATGAAATAGTGGATTTATTATTATGTTGTTTCCATCCCTTTGCAAAATATCTCCTAAATCATTTCTCATGTGGTGGCTTAGTTTCTTGTTGTTGCCGAATAGATTTGTATACATAATTTATTCTATCGCGCCGACAATGACCTCTGAAGTTGACTTTATTCCTTAAGTCAAAGAGTCTCCGGACACGCTTTGGAGCTTCTCTCTAGAAAACACGAGAAACAAATCAGACTCATCAAGAGTCCATGGTCAACTCCTTTTTTTTCCTTTTCTTTTTTTCAATGGTCAACTCTTTTGGATCAATCTCATCCACGTATCAGTTTTGTGCCCAGTCCATTGTTTATTACTGCAAAAGCATCATCTTAATCGATGAGATGAAGATGTTGGGGGTAATTTATCCCCAAAAAAAAAAGATCCATAAGCTTCTATCATATGATGTCTTTAAATTTGATTCTTTTTTTCTATCAAGGGATATTTAAAAAAAATAGTAATAATCCTTAAATTGAGTTGTTTCAAGCTCAACTAATTCTAGGTTGATTCGTTCTAATCGGGATGTCTCGATCGACATTAAATTGATTTGAATCAGATTGATTATGATCGAGTAGAATCACTTTTATCAACCCATGAACCATATACTTTCTTCTCCCATTCCACGTCCATCACCTTCCACTATTATATTCTCTCCATTCTTATTAGCTTCATTCTCTCTCTCTCTCTCCTATGGCTTCTTTATTCTCCTTTTCCTTCTCTTTTTACTCTCTGTTATCTCTTTCTTGTTCCATTTTGACTTTCTCCATTTTATCATCCTTACTATGTTTCCCACTTCACCTCCATTTTCTTATCTTCCTCTCATTCCACTTTCATCACCACCTCCATCTCCCATTATTCTTTTTCATTTGTCTCCCATTTATCCTCCTCTTTTATCTTATACTCATGTCCATCGTCACTATCTTCTTATCAGAGTTTAACATAGAAAAATTATATTATGCTCAAGTTATATTCGGGTTATAATCAAGTTATATCGATTTATAAAACTTATTAAAAATATATTAATTTTTATATAATATATTTTAAATTCATCATAAAATAAAAATTAGTATAATTTTTATTTTAATATTAAATTTTTGATAATTAATTATATTAAAAATAATTCAAAAAATAAAAAAAATAATTTTGAAAATAAGTCAAGTGATCGAGTTTAACTTAGCCTAATTTCGAGTGTAATTAAAATAAGAAATAGTAAATGTCAAATTTTGTGATTAGTTTTATGATGTATTCAATATAATTTTATATAAAGATAATATATTTTTTTAATATATTTATGTGAATGAGTGTAACTCGAATGTAACAAATTTTTAAATAATATAGGATAATTTAATATAAAAATTAATATATTTTTAAAGATAATTCATTTTTTTGTTTTATGATTAATTGAATATAATTTAATATAAAAAATATATTTTTTTGAATGAGGTAATTCAAGTATAATCATTTTTTCAGAATCATTCTATATAAAAATATTTTTTTTAGGATAAATTAAGGTTTTATTTTATGATAAATTTAAGATGATTTATATAATACATAACATATATTTTTTTATATGTTTCTTTTGAATAAATCTAACTCGAATGTAATTGTTTTTCTATATCAACTATGAGGAGAAGAAGATGGAGAAGAAAAGGGAGAGAGGGAGAGAGAGGAAAGGGAGAGGAGGCAGATGTGGAGGTGGATGAAGCCATGGGTGGGAAAGGAGGAGGAAGCCGAGAAAGAAGAGTAGGAGGCGAAGGTAATTTAAAAAAAAATAAAAAAATCTAAATTTTAAACAAATCAAATTAAATAATTAAGACATAATTGAACCATTCTGATTAATTAAGCTCTAAAAGATTGAATCAAACCTAATCAAAATAATCATAATTTTTTTAATAATTTTATTAAAAGAATATTTTGATTAAGATAAAAAAATCCCAAATTAAAAAGGTCAGGAGCTTTGTTCGAAAAACAAATAAATAAATAAATAACCGTTCCATTTCCCTGCCCGCATCAAGTGGGTCCCATTAAAATAAGTACATTTCTATTTCTATTTTAGTTTCTTACGAAAAATTGAAGCAATCTCAGACACGAAACCCGTGCTATGTAAAATTTGGTCAACGCTCCTCGAGCTATATCTTTGTTCCTTCTCGAACAAGAAGGCACCCAAAAATCAAACGGCGATGATGTTTTCTAAAGCAGCTTAGAGGAATTGACCGACGACATTGACAGAGAAGCCGCGACCATTATAAAAAATTACAATCTTACGCCCCGCCATCTCCGGCCGTGCAAAGGTGAGATGGCATTTCCGTAAATATCGACAAATATAGTGGTCACAAATATAACAGACGTGGGCGATGGAAGCTGCGGACTTACTACGCGGCAAGACTCTCCAAAAGTCTTTAAATCAGCGTTTTGAACGGTAAATAGTATTTCGAGTCGAAAGAAACAAAGAGGGAAGAAGAACCCTTGGCCCGTCTCCCTTCTTCCAATCGCAGAGATCGCTGCCGCGGGGCGGCGATCGATCGATCGATCGATTGATCGAGGGCTAGGATCGGGGAGATCGGGTATGGGGCAGCAGTCGTTGATCTACAGCTTCGTCGCCCGGGGCACGGTGATCCTGGCGGAGTACACGGAGTTCCAAGGCAACTTCACCGGCATAGCCGCTCAGTGCCTTCAGAAGCTCCCTTCCAGTAACAACCGGTTCACCTACAACGGCGACGGCCACACTTTCAATTACCTCGTCGAGGATGGATACAGTGAGCCTCTCTACCTCGCTCGCTTCTTGCTTCCGTCTCGGTATTGGTTCGATATGATTTGGTTTTTTGATGTGGTCCTGTCGAAGTCGGCCTTTTTGGTCGATCTGATGAGGGAATAGGCCTTTGTTTATTGGTTAGCTTTGGGTGTACCGTGGGATTTATCTGGAGTGAAATTGTTTGTAGTTGTGGTCATTCGATATGGTACGATCGATCAACGCAATTCGTGAAGGTCAAGATAATTACGAGTGCTATAGGTCCCTTAAGATATTTACCTTTCTCTTGTTCTTAACGTATCGGCCATTTATTTGGTTGGAAGGCGAGTTGATCAGTTGAAGCAATCAGTTGTCGCTTTCTATTTGATTTTGATGGGATAGAGCTAGTACAGAGAGATTTCATGGCAATTAGAGTATTACTGAAAAGAAAAAATTGTTAAAATTTACATTTCTAATTTGTTTCTAGTATCGCAGCTCATTTTCATTTACAACTTTCTTTGCGAATTACTCTTGCTTTAATTTTTGTCTTACTACGTGCCGGTACTAACACCGAGTTTCTATGATATTAATGTTCAATATGTTGTCTCAAGATTCAAGAACTTAAATTGTTAGTGGTCAACACGTTGACATTTTTTACTGTTTTATATTGTCACAGCTGGTGTATATTTTTATTTTCTATTTCACTACTTGTCAAATTGTCCTTTTACTCTTAATGGGAGGCGCAGTTGCTTCCTTTGCTAGAAAATAAGTACCTAAGGTAGTTTGGAACTTTGTTTGACATTTGATCTTAAAGCACCTATTGGTTTCTGATTAAATACTTTGGTCCTTGTTATTTATGATGTATATATGCCACAAGGTTTACTTGTTATATGTATATATATACATATATACATATACATATGTATGTATATATATATACATACATATATATATGTATGTATATATATGCATATATATTGTTGATCAAATTAAATTAATTTTTTCTTTGCTTGATGCTTAGTATAGGATGCTTAAAAAAAATATGATCTACATTTGTCTGTTTATTCCCACAAAGGAGATTGTTGATTTGGGCCATTGATATCAAGATGATAGAATTGGAAACTCAATTCTCCTTGAAGATTGTAGCTCAAACTCTTTATATAGTTCATATATTTGTATATCATTATATATAAATTGCGTGTTGCGATGGATTAGTTCTTTAATAGGTTAGATCATGTCTGATTCGTATCTGATGCAACAACTATTCCGACCATCATCAATTAATCTTTAGGACAAGAAATTGAACCATATCCAGTTTTGTGCAGCTCAGCCTAACTTGAATGTGACTGTCCATCAATGGACAGAAACAGAAAACATCATTTGTTAGTAGTTTCACTATAGCAGATCAGATGCTTATGGAGTCTGTAGAGTCAATTGAGATGGTAGTATTTGGTTCATCTAATCTTAATTTGAACTGTTACCTTTTATAAAAATAAGAATATAACATCTCCAATACTTTCTTGCCCCAAACTTGCAGTATATCCAACATTTTTTGTCAAAATACGAAGATAGCAGTAAAAATGTGACCAAGCAATGTAAAAGATAATGATTCATAATTTCTATAAAGCCTCTTGGATGTAATCAATTCTGTTGCCTGCCATTCATCTGTTGCAGATATATACAAAGAATTCATTTCACTTGTACTGTATGCCTTAAACTTAGACACCCTCGTGTTGTCTTGGGGCTTAGGCAGGTTTATTCGACCATAGATCAGCCTTTCCAACCATCAAAAGTCTCTAATAGGGGCGAATAAAATTTGATTTAGCCTTGTGTAGCATGTTGCGGCTGTACAATGTGTTGGATAAGCAGATTGATCCAACTTGATATGAGCCTAAAGGGGTCTAGTCTAACTTGATATGAGCCTGATCCAGCTTGGCATATTGATATCTTCATAAGAGGAGGATTCCTTTATAAATTCGAGAATTAAAAGAGGTCCAGTCAGCTTTGAAAGGTGATGGGTAGCTAAGTTCTAGTTGGAACAGAATTAGAAGAATCTCTGTTCTGGAGTCTCCTTGTTGGGTTAGGAAAGGCGAGGGTTGACTAAGACTCTCTACTTGATCCTGGTATTAATACACATATATTTTATGTTTTTCATTATATCTGAGTATATTTTTGTCACTATTTTTTATTGATGTTATAGGGATTTATAAGAGTTCTGTTATGGGTTTCAATTGATGTCCTAAGTCTCGACATATGGTCATAGGATCCATGACAGTAGGGTTATATTGAATGTCCGAGAACTTTTTAGTCTCATTCTAATGTGCTGAAGTAAGCCATGAATGTTGCAGCATACTGTGTTGTTGCTGTCGAGTCTGTTGGGAGGCAAATTCCCATTGCCTTCCTAGATAGGATCAAGGAGGATTTTAACAAAAGATACGGAGGAGGTAAAGCTGCAACAGCTAGGGCCAACAGCCTCAACCGAGAGTTTGGGTATTTCTATTTTTCAGGACTATTAAAATTTTAAGAATAATTTTACAATTGCTTCTGCAAAATTACTCAGTAACCAAGGTTTTTGCTGAAAGTCAAGGTCTAAGCTTAAGGAGCACATGCAATACTGTGTGGACCACCCTGAGGAGATAAGCAAGCTGGCCAAGGTGAAAGCTCAGGTTTCAGAAGTCAAAGGGGTTATGATGGAAAACATCGAGAAGGTTCTCTTTTTTACTCTTTTATTGAGATATTATTTTCTTATTATTCCATGCTGGCTGTTGCCTATACAGTTGGAGGTAATAATTAAACTTGTTGCTTTAGGTTCTTGAACGTGGGGAGAAAATCGAGCTGCTTGTTGACAAAACAGAAAACCTTCGTTCTCAGGTGGGAAAACTCATCCCTAGGTCTCTTTCGGTACTTGGTGCATCGATATTGTCCGATAGAATTGGCATCTGTTCATGCACTGGAGTATTTCTATTTGTGCATGGTCTCAATTTGGCATGCTAACATGCTAGAATCATAGTTGTAAGTAGTTTCTAATGGTTCGGGCTTCAGGCACAAGATTTCAGGCAGCAAGGGACAAAGATGAGGAGGAAGATGTGGATGAAGAATATGAAGATAAAGCTGATTGTCTTGGGCATTATCATTGCACTGATCCTCATCATAATCTTGTCCGTTTGCCATGGCTTCAAATGCTGATATAAACTGTCATGCTTCCACTATTATTGCCCCTTCTAGGTGCTTTTCAGTTTAGAAATTTCATTTACTTCTTACATAAACAGATCGTTTGTTTACGATTTTGTGGGTTAGCCGTCTCCCATACGTAAAAAGTACTCCTGTTCTATAATCTTGTCCATCTGATGAATGGATTGATGCCTTATGTTTGATATATGCATGTATGGCCTGAACGCAATTCTAAAGTAGCTTTGTTGTCCTTTATCATTAGGTCATGAATGCAATTCAAAAATGTCTTTGGGTTTCCATTTTGTAATTTACTGAGCATCATTTAGTTGTGTTTCTCTTTAAGTGGCTGGAGCAGTATATAAATCTTCCTTCTTTAACTGGTTTGCATTGAGGTCTACAATTAACAACTTGGAAATCTTTAAAAATTTTGACATTTAATTTAATCTCACATCAGAAGTGGAAGGATGAATGCAATCATATATGTATGAGGATTCAATGCATCTACTAATATTATTTTGTTTTGGTTCATATGATGTCCTAGTTTGAATACACAGATTCTTGCCCTTTTGTGTTTTTATTTTTATTTTTATTTCATACAGTTAGGATATGTATAGAGAGTCCTACACCTAATCTAATCAATTCTCAAGAAGAGCCTTGATTGTGGCTTGGACTGTCAAGTCTGGTTATGGGGAAAGCAGCATGCAGCATATGTCAAGTCTAAACAATCTGTCTGGGTTGCAGAGAGTCTGTACACAGAACCACTCATCTTGTGGTAATGCAGATCCTTAACTTGGAACTGCCAGAACCTAATGCATCCATATCATGTATTCTGGTCACATTTGGATGGTAGCTTCCAGGATTTAGTTCACTTGGTTACTGCAGCTAGAACATTTTTATTCCTTGTCAGGAAGTGTTGCTGCATCAAGGACACATTGTGTTTTGTCATCTGATACACCATCCTCAACTAGTTGTCTCTTTGTTAGCCAACTTGTCTCTGCAAGGTGAACAGGAAAGAAGGACAGCTTGGGTTCTGTCATCTCACAGGCCATCCTTAAACTAATTGTCTCTCTGTCAGATAACGTCCATTTTTACAAGGTAGACTCTACAGTTGATACAGATCTTACCCAACAAAGAAATGTTCTTGGTACTTGTGAATACTGGAGTAAACCGTGTCCAAGTTTGGAGCCAACACAATGCTTCTGATGGATAGGATGAACTGTGGAAGATTTCACTCTCTTCCATGCATGTCATGCACATGATCAGTTCACCAAATCACTTGATCTTGCATTTAGATTGAGGCCTCTTCTCACACAAACAAATCAATGGATAACTTGGTGCAAGGAGGAGAGAGAGAGAAAGCAACTTTTGACAATGTGATAACCTGAAAAAGAGCCCTTAGAATATAGCACAAAGTAATCAGACAAGGAGAAGTAGACTTTGGTGAGGAATGCCTTGACCAAACTGAGGCAAGTACTTGTGCAGGAGATGTGCATGTGTCAAAGTGCACAACCCAAAGCAAGGCAGAGAGAGTGGGGTGGGCCCGTCCGGTCCCACAGCCAGGGAGTTCAAATCCAACACTTACACTCCCGTTCATAGTCCCACAAGAGCACTACAGAATCACCTCCAAACTCCAAGGATACAAGAACAGATTCAAAACTCTTCATTACCTTACTCTTCCATTTGTTTGGATCCCATGCATCTTCTTCCATTGTGGGGCGGAGACACAAAGGAAGGGTAAGAGAGAGGGACTTGAGAGGAGAAGAATAAGGAAGAAAAGAAGAGAAGGATGTGCAGATCTGGTAGGTCCACGAGGGACTTGTTCAGTGGCCTGGCATGCTTGTTCTGCATCAGTCTTTTGGTCTTCATGGCAAGCCATGGTGCAACACCAAGAATTGAACCACCAGTGGCTGCTTTAACTGTGCCTTCATCAATGGCTAAACACCTGAGTGGCATGGATTTGGATCCTTTCGTCAGTAGCAAGAGAAGAGTGCCTAATGGGCCTGATCCCATTCACAACAGGTACTTGTGCTAGTCTCTCATATGCTTCAGATTCCTCATCTCTGATATCCATCTCCTTCCCTGCATCTTCTTGTAGCTTAATGGAATAGTTCATGTTATTTAGACCTAAATATGACTTTTTTGGTTCTTTTACTCTATATGTTCTTGTCCATAAAGTTCTATCAGGTGCTATGAATCATTGCAGCACCTTCAGATTTGACTCTCTGAAATCTAACTCTTTCTTTTACAACCTATCCAGTGAATCTAAAGATGTACAAGTGAAACTAGTTATACGTGCTTAGTGTTTTTGTGTAGGAAACCGAACTGCAAATTCTTTGGCTATTTCACTAGTTCCAGAGTTCTCAATTAATGTTGCCAACAGCCTGTTCATTAGAAACAAAAGTCCATTAAAACTGCATTCCTCATGTGCACTCCATGAATAATCGAGTATTTAGTCCATCAAATTACTGCACTCTGGAACTTACCATATTGTTTGCACTTAGGATTTTCTAGGTGTAAACAGTGGGAGACATTTCTGAAACAAGATTAGGATTTAGTTTGCAAGTTTAAGCCAAAACCATAGAATTTGCAGCAATCGTGGTATACTGAGATGATGAAGTTCAGTTTGAGAAAAGTAGTAAGCTCAAAAGAAGAAGAAAAAGAAAAGAAAAACAGAGACATGGCACACATGTAGAGGTCTGAAGTGTTAGTGTACATACACAACAAGCTGTGCTCATTGGTGTGTCATGATTGAACAGACAAGTAGAAAATGATTAGCTCCTGCATGCAGATGTCACACATCATGCAGCATGAACTTAGTGGGTACCAGTCAGGAAAATACTCAGCTCACACCCAGTCAATACAAAATCAAATTGGTGATGGTTGATGGGGGTCACCTGAGTCCAAGAATTGCCTCCACTGTGCTGCCATGTTTGCACTGTGTCTAACCACCGTTCGTTGCATTTGCTTTCCAGGAGAGCTGGGAAATCAGCAAGGCCTCCAGGTAGAGAATGAGGACCAGAGGCATGGAAGCTTCCTCTGTTTGGAAGATGGATTACAGGTGTTATATGAGGCATGGAACCTTGTCATAACATTCTTGCTTTCGCCAACGTGCTTTCTTTGTGAGTAATTGAAAGTGGTGGGATGTATGAAGAGTCCAAGCTTGACAAAGATGGGAAAAACCTCTCGCAGTTACTTTATTACTGACTTCCTTGTTCTCAGTGTGAGAGGGAGAGAGAGAGAGAGAGAGAGAGAGAGAGAGAGAGAGAGAGCATGAAAAAAAGATGAGCATTGAATGGGATCAATGTAACAAATGCACTCAATTAAGCTGACAGCTTGGTTTTCTTGTTCCTTGGGTCCTTGTAAGCAGCAGTCCTAACAACTAAAGAGCTTATGGGTTTGTTTTTAATGCCAACTTTTACTTTTCTTTCAAGTCTCTCTGTCACTCACTTTGGTAGTACAGCTTTGTGCTCACCAAGGAATATAAAGTCAGTCTAAGACCCCTTTAAAGTTGCTTAAGACATGCATGAGAACATATGTACTCCACTCCAGTAGTAATCATCTCATGAACAATAGAGTAATCCAATGCTAGAAAAAGGGCAAAAAGAAGAAAAAGAAGCTTTGGCATGGCTTCCTTTTCTTCTTCGCTTTTCTGTTGCATCTTTTCTTGCAGGATATTGAGACGGCTAAGGAGCAAAGGCAGATCAAAAGCATCATGGATCGATAACTGTGAAGCCCTCCTTCTCACCAAGGTTAACCTGCATATAATTTTATAGATTGGTGAGCAAGTGGTACAGTCTCAAAGAATTTGTGCCATTTCCCTACCTCCTCAGTACATTAAATCATTGCTGAGGACCACCTATAATTCTAAGCTGGCTTACAATCAGAGGTATAAACTAGGCATCACAGTTCCAGTAACCAGCAGACAATTTGGATCACAACAACAATAATCTTCTTTTATTCCATCTGCACATGGAATTAGTGATTGATAAAAAAAAATGAATTTGGCTTTAGTACCATTAGATAACTCACAAAGGTCACCAACTAAAGATGGTCAAATGATAGAATTTAATCCTGAAAAGCTAATGCAAGCAGCTCATGGGGTGGTCAAGAAATGTTGAAACAGAGAGGGTTTGTTGTCTGGAATCATGCTGCAATATTGAGAAATTTATGATTCTTATTTCAAAAACCTGGATTCATGTCATGCAACTCAGATCCATTTGGAGTATTATAGGACCTTCATTTTATTGTGGTGGGGTTGTAGGAAAATATTGAAGTTACATGTGTAAAACTCTGAAAAGGAAAAAGGAGCACAAGGGAGATCATAAGTTGGAAAAAAAGAAAGGCTTTAATTGGAGAAAAAACAAACAAATTACTCCCTAAGAAAAACTTAATACTTTCTCAAATTATTCTTTTAATATTGACAAAACTTAAACCAATCACTAAACCATTTGAAATAACTAAAAAAATAATGATATGGTTAGGAACTATCCAAATATCAAGTTAAAATCATGAAAAAAAATGAGAAAATTTGAGTATTTCTTCCTTGTGATTCTGACTGAGAGAGGTCCATGATATTAGTCCTCATGGTTGGGGAAGGTGGAGATTCGCCCTCAATCAAGCCACCACCACTCGCTTTGTATCTTGGCTTAGTCCTTGAGCTCTCTCTCTCTCTCTCTCACACACACACACATACACACACAGACATCTCTTGAGGAAGTACATGAGGTTGAACTCGGAACTGTCCATATAGACTGCACGATCAGATGTAGCCAACCTGCAAAACAGAGATCAAACACCTTAAAACGAAGAGATGATAAAGCTCCCCAATGGAAATGAATTAGGAATGCTGAGTTAGAGGTTCCGCGTCCAGTAGGGATGACACCGACTTCATGGGGATGAAGCCGGAGAGAGAAGACACCACCAACTTGATGAGGACGAAGTTGGTGTCATCTCTCCTGGACATGGAAACCCAACTCCTACTTGTTGCTCCTTCCTCCTCCACTTGGCCGACTCTTATAGCCGCAGAGGCTCTCATCTTCCTCTCAATCCCTGCACTCTCTTTGACCACCTCCCAGTGTGAATGGCCCGACCTAGTCATTTCTGAAATCGAACTCCGATCGGTGGGCCGTGCTGACAGATCCTTGACCCGGTGAGCATGCATGTGTTCACATTAGTCAACGACAGTTGACTTCGTCCGCAATTATGATTCTGAATTTTTTTGTATTATTTGCGTTCTTTTATCATCCACTACTTTGTACGATTCAGGGCTTTTATATGCCAAGAAACAGAGTGAAGG